TTTGGACCAGCCTGATGCAGGCTGCAAAAGTGCCTCCAGAATCGGCCACGTGTTGGGTAGCACTTGAGGCTGTCAACTAAGAGGAGAAGGAGGAGGATCTCAGAATGCACAACAGAACTATGAATGACATTCATTTCTATGCTGAGAATAATGGCATTTTAAGCATAAATAAACCTGTAATACAGGAATGAGGTACCTCACACCAGCCAGCAATGCAGCCTTCCAGACTTTTTATTAAAAATGCTTTTTAGTTGAGATCCTGCATTGCAGAGGATTGCACTAGATGACCCTTGGAGACCCTTCCAACTCTACAAATCTATGATTCAGTGACTTCTCCCCAGACCACATCCCTCATTGCTCCTGCTTCATGCTCTGATGATTTTTTTGTTTTTTAGTTTAATAGAACCACAGAATTGGAAAGGACCTTATGAATCCTCTAGTCCAGCAGTTCTCAACCTGTGGGTCCCCAGATGTTGTTGGGCTACAACTCCCATCATCCCCGAGCTCTGGCCTTGCTAGCTAGGGGTGATCAGATGTTGTGGTTCAACAACAACTGGGGACCCACAGGTTGAGAAAGGCTGCTCTAGTCCAACCCTCTGCAATGCACCCATACGGAGATTAAACCATGCCAGGCTAGAATGTGTCCTTGAACTCCAACAACGCTTCTTGCTTCTCTTCGTGGGCAATGGTGATGGTTGTGCATGCATGTGTAGAAACTAGCCTACTGTACGAAGCTAGAATGTCCATTTGTTTCTCCACCCACATTGCCTCTGGCCTGACCACTGCTCCCATGTGGCCCAGAATTGAATGCTGATGGCACCCATTGAATAGGTCCCCCCCCCACTTTCTTCCAGGTGGGGGAGAGAGAGATGTTGTGCTTAGGTCCTGCTTGTGAGTTTCCGACAGGCACCTGGAGAACTGTTTGAACAGAATGATAGACTAGATGGGCCTTTGATCTCGTCCAGCTGAAGGGCTCTTCTCGTGTTCTTACCCGACTTTTCAGCAGAAAGGGGTTTGCAGAGCACCATACGAAGATCAATAAGAAGACTGTTCCTGCCTTCAGGCATACAATTCTTTTTTTTTAAAAAAAAATGACACAAAAGTGGGCGGGGGGGGCAAGGATTGTGATACAGGAGGGGAAGTGGAAAACTTAGGAGTGAAATCCTTATAATAGCCAGCTGGAACATAAAATAGTTTTGGTAGAGGAAGAGCCAAATCTTGGCTGCATCTCCACTGAGCCAAGGGCATGGTCCTGCTTACCTAATCAGCCTGATGGAATAGCTGCTGTCAGCAGAACCAATAGGAAAAGGATGTAGTTGTGGCAGTAGGTGCTTACCAGGCAAGAAGAAGAAGGAGGAGGAGGAGGAGGAGGAGGAGGAGGAGGAGGAGGAGAGTTTGGATTTGATATCCCGCTTTATCACTACCTGGAGGAGTCTCAAAGCGGCTAACAATCTCCTATCCCTTCCTCCCCACAACAAACACTCTGTGCGGTTAGTGAGGCTGAGAGACTTCAGAAAAGTGTGACTAGCCCAAGGTCACCCAGCAGCTGCAAGTGGAGGAGCAGGGAATCGAACCCAGTTCACCAGATTACGAGTCCACCGCTCTTAACCACACTGACCAGCTACTTCAATTACCAGCAAACAAAATCTAAGCAGGGACCCACACATTTGTTCAGGTTGTAGCTCAGTGATAAAGTCACTTATGACAACAGAGAGAGTTCCAAGCTTGATACCCAACGGTTCTGGAAAGTCCTCTCACTGGGCCTTTGGAAAAACACTAGTGAGTTAGCTACACCAGTGGTATTGCTTGCTTTAAAGCAGCTGCTGATATGTTTTGCTGTCTTCTTTTTGTATTAGTATTACATGCAGGTCTCGCAATCTGATCCCAGTGTGTCCTCAGGAAAGTGTTTGTTGGCAATTTCCATTGGCAATTTCCAATTGATTGAAAGTTGGCAATTTCCATTGATTCCTATGGGAAATTTTCTAATGTGTTCCTGACCCCAAAATGATGCAGCTGCCCCTTCCCACATATTTCAGCAACATCTGGAGTGATAAGAAGTTTCCAACTCCTGCCCTAGACAAGTTAGGAAAGGGCTATTTGCATAGCACAAGAAATGCTTGGCCTTTTCTCCAAATCAGTACTGGTCAATGTTTTCTAGTCTGCATTTACCTGGGTCATTTATTTATTAATCCAAATATGAGTTCAGGATTTTGTCCACAGCAGAGAGAGAGAGCAGGAGAGAGATATGAATATGCCCTCAAATATCAAAGTGGACTTGGCAAAGGCAGGGTTTTCTGCCGTTGTTGTTTTTACAGCACAATGCTTGAGCGCTTTATTATTAATTAACAAACAGTAACATGGGCACCACTGTTTGCTTTCCCTCTCCCTGATAGGAGTTTCACAATCAAATGAGCTCCTACCAACTTCAGTTTTTAATTTCATGGTATAAATTGGGGGTTTCACGCTAGTTAGCAATAAATAAACAAAGGCTTTTCCCCCCAGAATGATTGAAATGGAATTTCTGAAGGAACGAGCAATAAATAATTAGACGGCTCTATTGCTAATTATTATTAGAACTTGCTGGAGAATTACATTTCTGATCTGTGGGAAGTTCAAAGTTACAAAGTCAAAGTATCGTCACGCGGTGCCTTGGAGCGATTTTCTCCAAGGTCTCTCGCTATGAACCACAAGGTAATGTTTCAGGTTTTAAGGCTGCAGGAAGTGAGAGGTGGTTGGGTGTGTACAATCAGGACCTCTCCCCCAAGAATTTGGTTGCAATGAATGGAAATAGCCACTGAACTTGGGATTTTGTGGGGTGGGGGTTGGCATTTCATTTCAATGGAGTTGCAATGGACACCTTCCTAGTGGAGTATAGAGTATAGAGACAGCATAACAGCAGAGCAAGAGCAAAAAAGGACACTATACTTATGTTGGTGTAGCCTATGGTTACCAGATGTCCCCGTTTCCCGGGGACAGTCCCCGGATTTAAAAATCTGTTCCCGGACAAAATCTGTCCCTGGATTGCCCCTGGATTTCATTTAAAGTCCCCGGATTTATATTTTAAGCGTTGTAGATTTATTCATAGGGAATGAATGTTGTGTGATTGGTTCAACGGCACAAGTCACATCATATGGGGAGTTCCGGCAAGGCAAAATGGCAGGTGCCAGGGCAGTGAGCAGCTTCTGAAGTCAGCCAGAACCAACTGCACTACCAGGCTGGCTCTGGGCTGCTGAGACTGCCACTCCGGCTGCCGCTGCCAAGGGGGAACCAGGGATGCCCGGTGCATCAACTGGGGGAACTGCCGACCCCCCGTGACCCTTTTAAACATTTTTTTAAAAATACCTTTTCCCCTCCCTTTTCAAAACAAAAAAAAAGTGTCCCCAGATTCTTTGAAAAAAATCTGGTAACCTTGTGGTTGTTGTTGTTTAGTCGTTTAGTCGTGTCTGACTCTTCGTGACACCATGGACCAGAGCACACCAGGCACTTCTGTCTTCCACTGCCTCCCGCAGTTTGGTCAAACTGGTAACCTTAGTGTAGCCTAAAATAGCATTAGCTTTTTGTTGCCACTGCTGCTGCATCACACTGTTGACTCATGTTAATCTTGTGGTCCACCAAGACCCCAGGATCCTTTTCACATGTACAACTAGTTGTAGCCTAAAACATTTGGAGTTCACCACATTGGATACTTCTGCTGTGTCTAAATGTTAATTCTCCTTTACCTCCACTGGGAATATTGGAGATGTTGTCAGAATTCAAAGTGCTGGTGCTGACCTTTAAAGGCCTAAATGGCCTTGGCCCAGTATACCTGAAGGAGCATCTCCACCCCCATCATTCTGCCCGGACACTGAGGTCCAGTGCAGAGGGCCTTCTGGAGGTTCCCTCATTGTGAGAAGCCAAGTTACAGGGAACCAGGCAGAGGGCTTTCTCGGTAGTGGCACCCACCCTGTGGAACACCGTCCCACCAGATGTCAAAGAGAAAAAATAAAATAAAAGACTTTTAAAAGACATTTGAAGGCAGCCTTGTTTAGGGAAGCTTTTAATGTTTAATAGAATATTTTCTTTTAAAGAAAATATCCCCAGAAAGAAAAATATTCTTTTAAAGAAAATTTCCCCAGAGTGGCTGGGGAAACCCAGTCAGATGGGCGGGGTATAAATAAATTATTATTATTATTATTATTATTATTATTATTATTATTATTATTAAATTATTATTATTATTAAATTATTATTACAAGCTGATCTGGTCACGGTTAGGAATTCTTTGGGATTAGCCAATGGGGAATTAATGGAATCATAATAAAATAACCTGGTCTGCTACTTGTTGGGGCGCTGGCAAATGGTATCAAGCTAATCTCCTCCCAATGGCTGTGCTACTAAGCTCTGCTGTTTGCTAAACAAGGGCAGGAGGTAACAAATCACAGTGGTGTTGGTGTCAGGCCAACTCCGCTAAATCAAGTTGTCATTTATTTTTGACGCGTTTTTGCCCCCGGAGCAGCAACTCTTTCGTTCAAGAGGTGAACGGAGCAATCAGGGGAGCTCAAAAGTCTATTAGGAAAAAATGGCAGGGAGGGTTAGTTATAGCTCCGGTGGTTGCACTTTGTCATGTGTCGTTAACTTTCCCATCCCAGGGCTTGAGAAAATGTCTGCATGGTTCACGGATTCCAGGGCAAGCTTGCAGTACAGGGATGCAGAGAAGAGGGCCTGGCAATGGATGGGTGGGTGGTATTGCCCCATGCTAGTCTGGACATAGGCTGGGAATGTGGATTCAACCCATACCATACAGAGAGTGCCTTAGCAGTGTCTCACACCTGTCTGTATACCAGTCAATAGCTGCAGCATCAATCAAATCTTGGGTGGGTGCTGAGGACTCTTCATGTATGCCTTGCCTTCTCCCTCTCTGTAGTTGGTTTTGCCCAAGACCGAATGCTGATGAGCTAGTGTTCAGTCACAAAGAAGTGGAACTCTGATCTCAGGAAAGAGCCATAACTCAGTGGGAAAGCATCTTCTTGGGATGCAGGTTCAATTCCCAGCATCTGCAGGTAGGGCTGGGAGACATTCCTGTCCAAAACTGGGGAGAGATGCTGCAGGTCAATCTAGGCAGTACAGAGCTAGATGGACCAGTTGTCTGGTTCAGTATGAGACAGCTTGCTATGTTCTTGTTCCTATGCTGGGTTTGATCCAGAAGAGCTCTGCTCAGAGAGGGCATCGCTCAGTGGTAGGGCATATGCTTTGAGTGCAGATTCCCCAGTAGACTGGGCTGGGAATGCCCCCTGTCTGAAATCCTGGAGATCTACAGGTGCTGTAACTCTCCAATGGTTTGACTTCACCCTTGAAGGCACGCTCTTCCATTGTCTCCCAAAACAGATGTATGCCAATAACAACTTCTGGTCAGTGATGATGATACTGAGCTAAGTGGACTGGTGGGGTCACTGGTGCTTGTCAAGAGGAAGAAGGGAAGGACAAGACACGGGAAGCTTGGCCCAGGGTACTGCAGTGGCTCAGCTCTGTTAATATGCACCATGTATAGCTAAGCTCCTTGTACCTTGCAACTCCCCTCTCTATAAGCACCAGAGACTTTCTGTCTTTGGGAAGTGTCAGGAGAGCAAGGATACCCTATCAGCACCACCTCACTGCTATTGCCAAGGTGTGTATGCCTCCCATTCTCTATTCAACCACTGCTAAGAGCAGCAAAAAACTTAGTAATGACTGGGTGGGAAGGAAGGAGGTCTGTTTAAGGTTTTATCAGATTCTGGCAAGATCCAAACTAGGTTCAGAATTAGTCTCAGAACCAAGCTATCTACTCTATCATCTACCTACCTGCCTACCTACCTACCTACTTGTCTCGGGAAAATAATTTGGCTTCTAAGTGGGCATAATCTATACTGAGGGCATAATCTACACCACTAGACGCTATCTCATAGAGTTGCCACCAAAAATTTGCTTGAAGCAACATTTGAAGGATCTCACAGTGTCCCTGAATCCAAATTTCTCGCAGGGGGTTGAGAGTTCTGGTGAGGTTATACAACTTCTCAGAGAAGCTTCCCCTCATAAGTCACTAGATTTTCAACTATGACTATATGAAATGAATGCAGGGGTTCCTTTTGTAAGGATTATTTTATTTTATTTTATTGCAGGGAGGGGGTGAGAGATGAAAAATGGGTGTTGGATAAACTCGTGAGATTTTTGTTGTTGCTGCTGCTGCTCTCCAGAGAAATTTCACACATCCCCTGCTCTTGGGGGAATTTTCCTACTCTCTGGACTTTGAGAATGTGGCATTGCGAAGGAAAGTGCAGGTGACATTAATTCATGTGTTTATGTAAGAGGTAAGTGAAAATCCAAGGGCATGACGGGGCCAGGCTGCGCTTGGATACTCAGCGGTGTGCAAAATAATTTAGTTGGTCTGTCGACCATCTCAGACTGGCCTTATTCTCTGTGGGTTGACACTTGACAGTCATTCGGCATGATTTTCTGCATGTTGCCGCAGTGGGAACTATCCCATTTCATTACGTTCCTTGCGGTGAGTCACTCACCATATGTGCGAGTCATTTTATCAGGTAGATGCGTCCATGAAACAGAGTCACCGCAGCATCAGCAACAATACTGGGATGGCTGAAGGGAGGTTCAAGGTTGGATGATTCGCTTCTGACTCACTGCTGAATGAGACCGCTCTCTTCCGTTTAATGCAATTCTCCAGACTTCTCTTACATTTCTTTTTTTAATGCTTAAAAAACACAAACACCTTGATTCTGAGTGATGTGTGCTAGTTCTTCATTTCCTAGGCCCAAAGTGAAAATAATTTTTTCAATTAAAAATTCTTTACCGTCAGATGGCCATAAACGTGACTCTCGATAAGGATCTTGAAAGTCCCATCAGTGGAAACTAACTAAGCAACAAGAACACAAAATGGAACAGCCAACGGATGAGAAGGAATAATGATCCATTAATCTGGCACAAAGGCTTGTTAAAAGCATGATCTGCCTTCCCAACCAATGTACTTCAAAGGGTGAGGATGCACCTATCTCAACACCTATGCCAAGGGAGCTGCCCTGGTTGTTGATTGGGTACAAGGCAACACTCATGATATAAAGCTCCGAACAACTTAGGGCCAGCTTGCCAGAAATACGATCAGTTAGATCATCTGGGGAAATGGATAACAGGGTAGTTTCTCCTTTTGTTGGTTGCCATGTCACATGTGGAGGCTGCCATAACAATGTGCCCCCTAGGGATGCCAGGGAGGTGGGTTGAGAGAATTTGATTCATTCCAAAATGAATGATGAACTTATCTAATACACACTTTCTGAAACAATCTGAGAACTGAAACCACCCAATCCTTGAAAATTTGCACTTCTCTGAATTTTGCAGTCTGATTCTCTAGCCAAGTAATGGGCACCAAAATGCAAATACAGTGGTACCTCGGGTTACATACGCTTCAGGTTACATACGCTTCAGGTTACAGATTCCGTTAACCCAGAAATATTGCTTCAGGTTAAGAACTTTGCTTCAGGTCAGGATGAGAACAGAAATTGTGCTCCGGCAGCACAGCAGCAGCAGGAGGCCCCAATAGCTAAAGTGGTGCTTCAGGTTAAGAACAGTTTCAGGTTAAGTACAGCCCTCCGGAATGAATTAAGTACTTAACCCAAGGTACCACTGTACCAGGAACCTTGTAGGAGGAGACCAGAGGATGTTAGGCAGTGTGTTTTGTGGTATTTTGGCAACTGCAGCACATATCCACCATCTCTCAACTTAGTAACAAGTAATCTCCAAGGCTGGTCTTATTTATTTAATTCTCTTGTTTACTTGTATCCGTGGTGCCCTTGATTAATGTTAGGTTGCTTTTCTGCATTATATAAATTTGTTTTGGCTTTTAAATTGATGCTTTGAGAAGGTTCACACCTTAAGGTCACCTCAAAATATTTACCGGTATTTCTCTAGCGATAGCAAATCTATATACTAATAAGGGCAGGTTTTGTGAAGATGTGATGCAAGGACTCTTAACTGGGGCCAACGGACCTGGTGATGAAGCTTTATAAAGCTTTAATGAAACTGCACAAGCTATAGATGTGCAGAAAAATAAAAGGTGGGACAGAAACCTGTTGTTGCATGGTGTTAAAAACCTCAAGCAAACAGTTGTAGTTCTCTGGTCCCATTTCCTTATAATTAGGGATGGGTGAGTCTGTCAATTTCAGTTCCTCTCCACAGTGAACAAGCTGTCTCTCCACATGTACAGATGTTTTTGTGAAAGAGAATACACGTGTTCACTCATAGGGCTCAACGACTGTATACATAGGTACATCGGCAATACACTGATTGAACATTACCCGTGAATGACTGCACAAGTGTACGGCTCAACTATTTGTCTCCACAGGTATGCAAATTGTACACTCGTTGCATATTAACATCTGAACACCCCTTCACTTTTTTCATTTTCTCCATTTATACTCCCCATCTCCACATTTCCATATCTTAGACTCATAGAACTGTAGGGACTTTGAGTGCCATCTAGTCCAACACCCCGCAATGCAGTTTGATTTTTTTTTAAAAAAAGAAAAAAAATCCTCATTAAAATTCATTGGCATTTAAGTTTGAATTTCCCCTAATAAACACAATTTTGCAAAGCAATTTTCCCTAATACGATGCATTCCTTAAATATGATTTTCACTAATATATGCATTTGTGTGCATGCTTCACCCTAGTAGCCTGAGCACTGCAGTGCATGGATTGATAAAACTGAGGCTGGATTACTACAGTGCTCCCTATGGGGGACTGCCCTTGGGTCAGGAGCTCCAGCTGCTGCACAGTGAGGCAGCATTACCTGTGATTCTTGCATTGCAGAGGACTAGATTGTTAGGATATAGTTCCGTTCCACCTTTAGAACAGGCATGTGGAGTTGTTGCATGTCACATGTCTGTTTTCTTCCAGCACAGTCTGCTGGGAACTTCCGTTGTATATAGCTTTTGCCTATGCTGTTTGCTTGGACACGAAGGGAAGCATACAAGTTTTTTTCCTTTGTCCTGATGCTGAATAAATGCTTGTAAATATGCTTACATATGCCTCTGTCCGCTACTTCCGTTGCAAAGAGTTCTTATCTCTGCTGGCTTGCGTGCTCAGTCTCTAAAGGTCTCTGAGGATTGAGTCACAGTTTTGATGCTATTCCGAGAACTGGAGTTCGCCCGGCTGCCGGCCGGTGGCCTGGAGCCAGCTGGGGGCCTGCCAATTGCCCCCGTCTCCCTGGACGCAACCCAACATAATGACCCTTTGGACTAGATGACCTTTGGATCCCTCCTAACTCTACAGTTCTATGATTCTATATCACATATACCTCTGAATAGCAGTCACTAGAGATCATGAGTGAGAGATGGATATTGCAGTTATACTATGTTTGTGAGTTCCCCAGAGGCATCTGATTCTCTATTGTGACAAGACAATGCTCAACTACATGAGTCTGATCCAACAGGCCTCTTAGGTTCTGCCAGTTCATGGTGCTAGTAGGGAGGCCATTTTTATCCCATCCCCCAAATGTGGACTTGCTGATGGAGAATATGAATTTAGATATGCTCATTGCCTTGTTTCTTTGTCTTGATTTAGTAGTACATTTCTCTAAATCGAGTTGTTTTTCTCCCGAAGTTATTGTTCAGTGTAGGAACAACAACAAAATCTCTCTGTTAAGAAATCTAATTATATGTTTGAATTATTGAACTTTTTTTGTAAACAAATTCCTTTTTTCTCCCCACAAGAATCTGATCGTTAAGAGTCTTTTGTCAACAAAGCAAATATGGGTTTTATATTTCTAAGCCCTAGAACCACCAAATTCTAATTGCCAGCTTCATTACACAGAAAAGTATAAGTGTAACAATCAAGGGCCTTATTACACATTCATAATTGAGTTTCATTGCGACTTATGAAAACATAAACTGTCTTAAACACACTTGCAGAAAATGTCACATCATCAAATCTACACTTTTATTATACAGAAGTAATTGTGTTTCAAGACACCCGACATATGTTGGTTGTACAATCAAACCACAACAAAATCCATTGAGTTCGAATATGATTGAGAGGTCTTGGCAGCCCTAGAGTGGCAGAAAGTTTCTGTAACAATTTGCATGAAATGTGAAGCATGAGAGATGTTCTCCATAGCAGTGGAAACCAAACTCACTACCAGTGAAGCACCAAGGAAAACCACTTCACTCTCACATAGAAGTTAGATTTGCCTCCTGATGTGACGATGTAATAAGCTTTCCTCTTATCTTCAAAGCTCTTCAAACCACCAACTCTACTTCTCTCTTCCTCATGGCCCTTCCTGCTCTCCCTTCTTATGCTCCTTCCTATTTTTATTTATTTTTATTTATTAAGTTTGTATACCACCCTTCATTTGTAGACCTCAGGGCAGTCCACAACTGTGAGGTAAGTTAAAATGAGAGGCGGTGGCAGGCCCAAGGTCACTGAGTGAGCTTCATGACTGAGTGGGGACTGAACTCTGGCTTCCTAGGTCTGATATTCTGACCACTATAACACGCAGGCTCACAATGTATGTGTGTGTGTACATGCATGCACATGTGTGTATGGAAGTTTAGGACTGATCACTGTTTCATTCCCAGAATGTTATATGAGAACAATTTCCAGGAACTGACATTTGAAGGCACTTGGAGCTACCTTATGTTTGAATATAAGCTGGTCCAGATAGGTCTGGTGTTTGGCTTGGAATGATGGCTGTCTGGAATCCTCATGTACACTACTTTTGGTTCCATGCCAGAAGAAATGCAGGATATAAATGCAAGAACATAAATAAACAAACCTTCCTAAGTGTCCTTCCTAAAACTTGGATCACATCTTCATCAACATAAAAAGTTCCCCATTGCAGCTGGAAGCCAAAACAGAACAGGGAATTCATGATGATATTCTTTCATATCCCAAGGAGTGAATCTTGTGTCATCGGATCTCACATTCTGAATCATCTCAGCCTATAACGTGGTCCTGAGATATAGAAATATGTGGCCGTTTTGTGGGGGGGGGTTAAAGAGAAAACCTCCATGGCCGGCATGTGGCTCCATCACTTATGCATTATAGACTTTCTACTCAATTGCAGTCTAATCTCGCAGGAATTTATTATGCATCCTTTATATAAAATAGTGTGTACCCTCTACAGAGAACATCAAAAGGCGGTTAATAGAGATGTTAAATTATTATTGGTTGAAAGAAGCCCAATGCCCTAGAGTAATCAAGTTCTCCTTTTCCCCTGCATGCTCTGTACACCGTATATAATATATACAATTAATAGCACACATGCATCAATCTCTAAGAATATCTCAATGAAGTCTGCTTTGGATGTTCAAGGGACTGATGTATAAAACATGTGGGGACAAGCAAAAATGTCACGCCAGGGCAAATTGTAAACACTGGCAAAGAGCGGATAGATAAGTAGAAGAGGTACTCTGCTTCCCTCAGAACTGGCATCTAGACTAGGCTTTAAAGTTCAAAGAGGAATCTTCACAGAGTTGTATTATTCTACACCAGAGGGGGAAAGCCTGAAATTAATTTTGGGAGGAAATTCTCCAGCAAATCATCTTCATTGCTAGGTCCAGGTTAGAAGTGTGGATGACCTCACTGGAATCTAGTGTCAAAGCCACTGAGGTCAGGGGCCTGGATTGGAGGAGATGGTGAGGAGGAACATGCACTATCCTGTTGACCAGGCAAAGGCAAAAGTCCAAAGTCTTAGCATTTATATCAGTCCATCCCAGCCTTGGACAGAGTCTGCATAGCATCTGTCAGTTGCAGGGGCTGGTGTTGCGGAGCATAGGTATATCACACCCCTCAACCATGCTGCATTAAGTGGGGCATACCAGAATTACAGAAGCCATCTGAGCTTCTGATTGAATCCTGGCTCCTGCGAGATCACAGCCCTGAAAGACGTACGGTTTTTGGCAACCCACAGAGCCAGTTGCAGCCTTGTTGGCACCGGCAGCACGGGCACAGCAGGACCCCTTTGGCACCATCTTTGGCTCCACAGCAGGTACAGGGGTGCAGCACATGTGCCAAGTGAGGCAGGGAAGGAGGGAGATGGAGCTAGCAAACTCCACAGGACACCACCATCAGGTGCCTGTGTCCCTTTGCACCCCTGAGAGTTGCAGCGCACCAGCATGGTGGAGGTGTTGCACTGAGTGTGAGGCAGCGAGCAAAGAGGAGCGCCCTGCAGGGGTGCAAACACCACTCGGCTGCAACATGTGCCCCATCCTGGCTGGGAGCTGAGCCTCCAAGGGGGCAACCGCAGTCCCCGAGTGTCAGTGGTGGTACTGCCTAGAGAGCTGCTACATTTGTTCAGTGCTGGAGGAGAAGGCAGTCTCTGGCTCCAGCTTCCTCCACACCAGGGGCGGAGTTACCTGCCCCGGCTCCCGCAGGTCGAGCGTGGGGCGGAGCGCTGCTTGCTGCCCACACGGTGAGCTCCCCTAGCTGCCTGCCACCCACACAGTGAACGTCAGGATGGGTGCCGCTAGCCACCCACAGCAGCATTGTCCCTTGTGGCTTGCCACCCACGCAGTGAGCGGGGGTGGGTGGCGTGGCGATGTTGCCTGCCCTCATGGCTTACACCTGGTGCGCACTGCACCTCCCACACCTAGCTTCCTCCGCCAGTCCTCCACACCTTCTCTCCTCCTCCCAACTGGCTATGTTCCCCACTGGTATCGGTCTTTAAGGAGAGTGTGTGTGCTGTCAGCTTCTGGGGAACCTACCCTGACAGGGTGAGTTGGAGATTCCGGCCTGCCAGAGGATTAGGCTGGATGACCATTGGGAGCCTATCAAACTCTGTGGTTCCATGAATCTGTGATTCTCTTAGCACAGCCATGAACATGGCCCAGGAGAGGGAGGTGGGTGCTGGAATAGGCGGTGGTGTTATTTGAGCGTGTGTGCATAGGGCAGCTTGGTGAAATATGTGTGTGGGGGTTTTTTGGGGGGGGGACACATGAGTCACGTGACACATGCAGGAGCGCTTCCCTGAAAGACATGCATCCTGATTTTCCTCAGCAGCAGATTGGATGGTATGACATTATAGCAGGGTTTCCCATGGGCAGCTGAGTGGCCAGTGTGAGAGTAGGATGCTAGACTAGATGGGCAATTGGCCTGATCCAGCAGGCTCCGCTTATGTTCTTATGTTAAGCAGATGAGAGCCAGCGTGGTGTAGTGGTTAAGAGCAGTAGTCTCGTAATCTGGTGAACCGGGTTCGCTTCCCTGCTCCTCCACATGCAGCTGCTGGGTGACCTTGGGCCAGTCACACTTCTCTGAAGTCTCTCAGCCTCACTCACCTCACGGAGTGTTTGTTGTGGGGGAGGAAGGGAAAGGAGAATGTTAGCCGCTTTGAGACTCCTGAAGGGGAGTGATAAAGCGGGATATCAAATCCAAACTCTTCTTCAAACTCTTCTATGAGAGCATTTGCCCACCTACTCAGTTAATACTGAGACACTTCTATGTGCATTCCCACATGTCAGGTGGCATTTCTCTAAGAAAGAGTCACCCAGGTGTATGTTTCTTGCACCCCTGTTGTGACGTGTCCTTTACGAAGCTGCAAAACATTTGATTCCGTGGGGATCTCAAAAAGTAGAGCGGATCATCACTTAATTCTAGCTCACATGCATGGCAGTCTCCCTGCTCCACTTCACCCAAAAAGCTCCCTTTGGATCCTTGCAACAGGGTGGCCTTCCCTGCAAAAAAGAAAAGAAATCTCACTTTCCCTTTCCACCTTCATGGTGCTAGGAGATCAAACGATTACCTGGGGGAAAGTTTTCCATTTACCGACACGCTCAACATTCTAAGCACCTTTCCCCCAAAGAAATGTATAAAAGGCCTTATGGGAGGTAAAAGGGAGGAAAGTGGGGGCGGGGGGGAGGAAGAGGGAAAATGGGTTTCTTGTGGTTTCCCACTCCCACCCCCCATCCCAGTGTACCCCAGCAGCACACTGCCTGCAAATCAAGTTAAACAATTATGCCCCGTTATAAATAAACAAATAAATAAACTGTCTTTCCAAATCTTATTATCACAAGTGGCAGTCTCATTAAGAAAAGGCCAAGCGCTCCTGAAGGAATCGTTTTAGGTAAGGCTGTGTCACATCATATGTGTTTTATCACTTTACCCATTAGCTGATATTACGGTGGGGTGGTGGTATTGTGGGGGAGGGGGACACGCAGGAGAGGAGGTGGTTTGTGCTTTGAACTTCGCGTTTCATCAGTTTTCTGTCTTAAGAACATAAAGGCCCTCTGGGCGCTGAATTTCATTGTTAAACCATCAGCGTGACAAAGTGGCGCAGAGGCATTATTCCAAAAGACACTTTGCGGTGCTCCTAGCTTACATTGTCTCGGAATCTCGCCATTTGTCTGCTGACATCCTGCCTGGTCCTCACTTGGAGGGGATGCCAATGTTTTCCTGGGTCTGGAGGACTGGTTTGCGTCATCAGAGCTGGCTCTTCCATGAAGCAGCATTAGGTGAACACCTCTAAGAGCAGGTACTAGTGACAGGGAGGCATGGCAACTGCATTTATATGTTGCTCCTCTTCAGCCAGCATGAGAGCCAATGTGGTGTAGTGGTTAAGAGCAGTGGACTCGTAATCTGGTGAACTGGGTTCGATTCCCTGCTCCTCCACATGCAGCTGCTGGGTGACCTTGGGCTAGTCACACTTCTTTGAAGTCTCTCAGCCCCACTCACCTCACAGAGTGTTTCTTGTGAGGAAGGAAGGGAAAGGAGATTGTTAGCCACTTTGAGACGCCTTAGGGTAGTGATAAAGCGGGGTATTAAATCCAAACTCCTCCTCCAAACTCCTCTTCAGCCGTCTTCACAACTGGGTCATTTCTTCTAAGGTAGCTTTTCAAGAGGATGATCTGCTTAACTTTTTGAGACCCTGTGGACTCAAACATTTCACCGTTTCGTATCATTGGTTGGGAATCACAGGTGGAGAGAGGTCAGCAGCGCTCAGGTCTTGCTTGAGCTTTCCCCACAGGCCTCTGGTTGGCCACTGTGAGCACCACAATGCTGGACTAGATGGGCCATTGGCCTGATCTGTAATGGTCTTTTCTGTGTTCGTATGAGAACCACAGCCATTCCCTTCATCTTGACAGGGTGCCCCAGAACTGGCAGTGCTTTCTTGACCCTGCCCTGAATGTCTTGTTTGACACCATTAGAAAATGCCTACAACTGAGCTGGCATGTATCCAGTCTAAGCTATTCACTCTGCAACAGGCATTACCTATACCCATGTGACATACTTTGCAATGTATAATAAAGCATAATAAAGCATCAAACATTAAAAACTTACCTATACAGGGCTACCTTCAGATGTCCTCTAAAGGTTGTATAGTTATTTATCTACTTGACATCTGAGGGAAGGGCATTCCACAGGGTGGGCACCATTACCTAGAAGACCCTCTGCCTGGCTCCCTGTAACTTCATTTCTTTCAGTGAGGGAACTACCAGAAGGACCTCAGAGCTGGACGTTCGTGTCCTGGCTGAATGACAGTGGTGGAGATGCTCCTTCAGCTTTGAATGGGTTGTGTGCCATGATGTTTAATGGTGCCCAAAATAATAATAATATAATAATTTATTATTTATACCCCGCCCATCTGGCTGGGTTTCCCCAGCCACTCTGGGCGGCTTCCAACCAAATATTAAAAACAACACAGTCAGACATTAAAAACTTCCCTAAACAGGGCCGCCTTCAGTTGTCTTTTAAAAGTAAAACAGTTGTTTATTGCCTTGAAATCTGTTGGGAGGGCATTCCACAGGGCAGGTGCCACTACCGAGAAGGCCCTCTTCCTGGTTCCCTGTAACCTCACTTCTCACAGCAAGGGAACCACCAGAAGGCCCTCGGCACTGGACCTCAGTGTCCGGGCAGAATGATGGGGGTGGAGACGCTCCTTCAGGTATTCAGGACTGAGGCCATTTAGGGCACTCCTGCTGTTGTGCTTCCACCACAACAACCTCATCTCCACCTCCCCCCACTTCACGGTAAGTCTCAGCAACTCCAGTGATGGGAGGCCACGTAAGCTCAAGTACCCCTCCAACTACCACCAAAACCCATACTAACTTCCAGGTGTGGAAATATGCTAGCCTGTATGCTGTATGCTGTATGCTGTGTGTTTCTGAAATTAGTGCTGATCGACCCACAACATATATTGCTAGGGTTTTGCATCACTGCACGTATGTGTGCATCTCCATGCCAGCCTTTCCCGAGTCACATTTTTCAATTAACATCCTTACTTTGAAAAATGTTGCATTTACGAAGAAGTTACTTTTTAATATTTTTGAAAGAGTGGGGATGGAGATGACAATGAACCCAAGAGCTGTGTGGCTGGGAAGACTAACAGACCCAAATTACCATGAGCCATGCTTGTCCAAAATGTCCGGGAGGAGTATTGCTTTATAATTATTTCAGACTAATGGCAATATTTAAATGTTACTGTTTTAATGGGAGCACTTGATCCCGGAAGGCTCGTGAAATTGCATGTCGCTTTTAAGCTGCATTGCTAAACCAGCTCACATCCAGCCTGTATACAGGCCAATCATCCTCAGCTGGGCTTCAGGAGTGGAACAAATTGTTAATGCTTTTCATGCATGCAAAGGTTAAGGCCCCAATCCCACGTACACTTTACCTGGGAGCAAGCCCTGCTGAACCTAATGCAGCTTAGTTCTGAGTAGATTGCACTGTGACTCATACCCATAACATCCCTGAAGGTTCCCTCCCTCTCCCCTGTGTGATTTTTCTGCACTATCAAGAGTATTGTGGTGGGAACTCCTGAATGTCAAGAGACGTCTCTTGGCGATGACTCAATCACAGTGTTTCTGGACTTCTGCTGGGCGCAAAAGGCGAAGGGACGTGGCTCAGTGGCAAAGCATCTGCTTTGCGTCCAGAAGGTCCCAGGTTCAATCCCTGGCATCTTCCGGTAGTGAGAGGCTCCTGCCTGGAACCCTAGAAAGCCACTGCCAGGCAGTGAAGAAAACATTAAGCAAAATAGACCAATGGTCTGATGCAGTATAAATAAATATAATAATAAAATTTTATTTATATCCCGCCCTCCCCAGCCAAAGCCAGGCTCAGAGCAGCTAGCAACAGTAAAAATATCACAGTTTACATAAAATCACAGTCAATTAATTGAAATACATTCTAAAATCAATTCTTTCTAAAATCAATTCAAAATCAATTTAATGGCAACCATTGGGCTAGAGTTCTATGAGGATTACAGGAGCAGGGGGTCAGACTGTGCCTTTGCCAAAGGCCTGGCGGAACAGCTCTGTCTTGCAGGCCCTACAGAAACATGTCAAGTCCCACAGGGCCCTAGTCTCTTGTGACAGAGCGTTCCACCAGATCAGGGCCATGGCCAAAAACGCCCTGGCTCTGGTCGAGGCTAACCTAACCTCCCTGTGGCCTGGGATCTCCAAGATGTTTTTAAGGTCCTCTGTGGGACATTCCAAGAGAGGCGGTCCCATAGGTACGAGGGTCCTAGGCCATAAAGCAGCTCCCCATGTTCCTAACAGGTGTCCTGTGTCTAGATTTTGCTTGTAGTTCCCCACCCCACAGTGCTGAAGTGTTAACGTCCAATGTATTTCTCGATGATGCCAGTTGTGACTATCTAGAATGATCCAGTCAAGCTGAAGGAGGAGGCTGGAATGTCAGTAAGATGCCACTGTGGGGAGGGTGTTGGCTCCACAGGCCACATCCCTTATTGGATCTTTGTCTCATGGGCCAAATGTGACAGGTGACTGGTGCTGCCAGCCTGGTCACACCTGGTGATTGGGTGCTTTGATGGCCCAACGTTGGAACTTCAGAGCACCAATACAGGACTCGCAAAGAGTCCTGTGCAGTGCATGAAGTGGCTGGGGATGTGGCTTGACTAAACAGCCTCGTTGCTGTATACATGAAGGAGCATCTCCACCCCCATCATCAAGCCCAGACACTGAGGTCCAGCGCTGAGGGCCTTCTGGCGGTTCCCTCCCTTCAAGAAGTGAGGTTATAGGGAACCAGGTGGAGGGCCTTCTTGGTAGTGGTGCCTGCCCTGTGGAATGCCCTCCCAGCAGATGTCAAGGCAATAAACAACTGTTTTACTTTTAAAAGACAACTGAAGACAGACCTGTTTAGGGAAGTTTTTAATGTCTGATGCTGTATGGTTTTTAATATTTTGTTGGAAGCTGCCCAGAGTGGCTGGGGAAACCCAGCCAGATGGGTGGGGTATAAATAATAAATTATAATAATATTATTATTGACTGCCAGCGAGCTGGAGGGCAGTGAAGCTGAATCCGGCTCTCTGCAAGCATTGACTGTGAAAGTGAGTTCTCCACAATTATCCTGATTGTGCTTTGGTGGCTGTCTCTCCACCTGCCCTACGCCTGATGTCACATAGGATGTCAGGCCTGGAGCAGGTGAGGAAACAGCCTCAGAAGCTGAATTTGAAGCCCTGGTGGGACAAGTCTGGCCCACAGGCTTGAGGTGGTCATACTTGATACAGGTCCCTAAGACTCCTCCAGATCAAAGGTGGATTTAGGGCAGCAGAACCACTGGTGCTGCAGGGTGTCTTAACTATGATGCAGTGCACATGCAGAATGGAAGGCAAGAGGTGGGGGTTCCAAATTTGGGGCTTTCACAAGGCACCACTGAAATTTGGAAGACCAAAGACCACCCCTATCCAAATTACTGAGGCAGGTACTGGGCAGTGTTAAAAAACTGGGTGGTCAACAAAAGAGGTTTAAAGACTGTCTCAAGGCAAATCCCCCCCCCCAAAATGTAGCATAAACACTGACAATTGGGAAACACTGGCCTGTGAGCTCTCCAGTTGGAGAACAGCCATTATCAAAGGTGTCATGGGCTTTGAAGAAACTCGAACTCAGGACGCAAGGGAGAAACGTGCTAAGAGGAAGGCATGCTTGGCAAATCCACACCTTGATCAGCTCCCACCCAGAAACCAATGTCCCCACTGTGGAAGGACGTGTGGGTCCAGAATTGGCCTCCACATCCACTTACGGACTCGTTGTTAAAACCGTGTTTATGGAAGACAATCTTACTTGGCTATGAGGGATTGCCAAAGAAGAAGAAGACTGGGCAGTGTACAGTTTAGCAGAACAACAAATGAAAATATTACCTTTGTAATGTAGGCTCTTTCTAGGCACACACACACATTGCTCTTTGTTCTCCATCCAACATCCTAAAGAAGAGGTATTGCCAGAGTTCAATGGCATGTGCCAGCCTGAAAAAATCACTGAAGGAAAGTGCAAAGGAACGTTTGCAGATAACACCCTTCTGAACAAGAAGCAGAAGAAAGTGCATGAGTCTTTGAGACTATGGTAAATGTGCACAATGTCCAGTTATTATGCACATAAACCTTTCCCTCCACACAAGAGAGAGAGAGAGAGAGACTTAGACTTATTCCCTTTCTGAAAATGGCTGCACGACTCAAACTTTGGTTTACTGTTAAAAAGCAGAATGTTTCTCTGAACATTAAAAAAAAAAAGTCCAAGTCCCCTTTAAAAACTAAAATGAAAATGAAAAAATGCCCAAGTATAGGGGTCAAGCTGTTATTCAAACTTGAAATGCAGAATTGGGGGCAGAAGGTACATTCCAAATGTCATCCCAGAATCTCGCCATTCAACAGTTATTGTGTTACAAATCAACCAACAAATGGAATGTCGAATGATCAAATCAAATCAAAGGTCTCGCTTTGCTCGGCAAAAAATCCAAGAAATAGATAAAACTTTGCAGGGTGCAATATCTCTGTTGCTTGCAATGTGTAGTGCTGTGTTTTTTGTTTCTTTGTTCCTTCTTTTTTTAAAAAAAGGTTTTTGTTATATATTTTTCATCATATGAAGATAAAAGGTGAGCTGAAAAAGTTTTCTTACAAGCGAAACTGGAGGCAAAGGGTTGGATTCCAAAGTTGCCCTTCTCTAAACAGAATGGGCTTGAATTCAGTTGGGGCACCTGCCAGTCAAAGTGAGCAAATAGCTTCTGATTGCTCCTTCTCTCTTTATTCTCCCATGCTATATCCCATGTTATTCTATTGGGCCTCCCAACCCTCTGGAAAATATTTTAGGGAGCCACAGAAGAAAGGTGAAGCTGAGACACATGTATGCTCTATTGCAACACTCTACTCATAGAATTCTGTGTTAGGGGTGTGCATTTGGTTAGTGGGAGTTCCATATTCTGAGCTGAAGCAGGAAGCTGTGGAGAGTTTTTTGGTTTGTCAAAGGTGAATCAGGATCTGTACAAGTGCTTCGTGGTGCCTCAGCAATGCAGACATAAAAATAAAAGCAGCAGGCAGGTATCTGCTGAAACAGAAAGGAACGTCTCTAAGCTGTTGTGGAAACCAAACCACACATGACAAAAGTGCCTTATCCCTTTATTCAGGTACCTGGTGAGGATCTCAGATTTCATGAGTGATAGAGAGTCCTCTGAGGAGGAACAGAATAAGTAATATCTATACATTGTTTGTCGCATAAAGCACAAGATCTACATCCTCAAATATAAAATGGAAAGTTCAAAGCAATGTTTCAACGTGTTCCAAAACACAGTAGTTGTTTGCCCTTTAAATTCAGCTTGCATAGCAATTATTTTGCCATTACTGGCAGTCTACAATTACTTGAGGGACGCGGGTGGCGCTGTGGGTAAAACCGCAGCGCCTAGGACTTGCCGATTGCATGGTCGGCGGTTCAAATCCCCGCGGCAGGGTGCGCTCCCGTCATTCGGTCCCAGCACCTGCCAACCTAGCAGTTCTAAAGCACCCTCGAGTGCAAGTAGATAAATAGGGACCGCTTACCAGCGGGAAGGTAAATGGCGTTCCGTGTGCTGCGCTGGCTCGCCAGATGCAGCTTGTCACGCTGGCCACGTGACCCGGAAGTGTCTGCGGACAGCGCTGGCTCCCGGCTTATAGAGTGAGATGAGCGCACAACCCTAGAGTCTGCCAAGACTGGCCCGTATGGGCAGGGGTACCTCTACCTTTACCTTTACAATTACTTGTGTCTGAATATTTTGACACAACTTTGTTCTTTGTAGCTAAGCAATATGTGAATCATCAGATGTAACCCTCACCCTTCAGGTCACCTCCTGTATTAACTAGGGTAAAGCTGAATACAGTGGTACCTCAGGTTAAGTACTTAATTCATTCCGAAGGTCCGTTCTTAACCTGAAACTGTTCTTAACCTGAAGCACCACTTTAGCTAATGGGGCCTCCTGCTGCTGCCACACAGCCAGAGCACAATTTCTGTTCTCATCCTGAAGCAAAGTTCTTAACCTGAAGCACTATTTCTGGGTTAGCAGAGTCTGTAACCTGAAGCGTATGTAACCTGAGGTACCACTGTATCTCTAATCCTTAATGCTCAACCAAATTTTGTGGATTTTGCTAACAAAGTTTACATAATATCGCAAGAGCATGGCACCCAAAAACACACCAGATCACAGTCAGACATGCATCTCTTGTGAGATCTTGGTGCCAAAAAATGCACGTTTTGGGGCACCATGCTCTCAGGGGTGACTTGATTAATTCAGGAGTACAGCCTGGAAGACATGTGTCCTGGTTTTGCTCTGGAACATTTTGGAAAGTATGGTGGCACCTGTCACATAAAAAACCATCACAGAGGTGTCAACATTTTCAAAAGTAGGGGGACCATGGCTTGCCTTTTGAAAAGTAGGTGGTCCTCCATATTTAGCTAATTGGGAACCACTGGACTAGAGATTATAGTATGCATTTGTTCTAAGTAGTGGCCCCAACTTTAAGCAGCCATTTTTTAATTGTATTTTAAATTATATGTGCAAAAGCTACAAAAAGCAGGAGAGCACTTTCAATGATTACTGGCCATTATGGCAATATTCTGCCTCCACAGTTGGGAGCACCATTGTTTGTGAATTTTAGTTGCTAGAAAACACAGAAGGGGAGAGTTGAATCCTTCTTGTGTGTTTCTCAAAGAGGCATCTGGTCCTCTGCTGTGAGAAAAGGATGCTGGACTAGATGGGCCATTGGTCTGATCCAGCAGGACTCTTCTTATGTTCTTAAACATTGGCTCAGAATTGGACTCCACGGTCACTTACAGACTCACTGTTAAGACCATGTTCATGGAAGACAATCTTACTCAGCTACAAGTGATCACCAAAGAAGCAGAAAGAACATCAACTAGCTAGTTCCAACATAGCATCCCTCCTCTTTGCTATCTCACTTCTTTCTCTCCCCCACCCACCATGATTTTTATTCCTGTTCTGCACTAGCCCAGCTGTGCTACGAAACCCGCAAGTTCAGCTGCAAAACTTTGCTGACCGAGCGGCTCGTTTTAGGCACTGAACTCTTTGCGTCTCTGCCTTATTAAGGTACATATTTGCAACCGTGGAAACTCCAGATGCTTTGGTTGTGGCTGCCTGAGCTTATGCACTAAGCTGTTGACAATCTGTTGAGGATATCGTTTTGTTTTAAGACCATTAAAGTGTGATTCTCTCTAGTCTTTTTTAACTTTGGCTTGAGATGCTCAGATAAAAGAAAATAAAGATGCAATCAGCTCCTTTGTAAACCTCGCCTGCTTTGCATCTATCAATGTGGCAGAGGCTCTCCAGAATCGGAGGCCACAATCTCTGTTCTTCCCGCTTCTTGAGAAGGAAGCCTAAGATTCTCCTCCCCTTTTTTTCTTTTATCTACCATTCTGAAGACGCAGCAGGTTAAGGGGGAAAAAATATCCTAATTCTTGCTCAATTTACTTTGCATAATATATTGGTGCTGGGGAGGGGAAGAATATGCCAGGAAGACTGGACTCGCAGCAACTGCAAAGTGGAATAGTGCGATGTGCAGTGATAAGAGGAAGCCTGATCAGCAACAATGCACCATGATTATGTATAAAATCCCAACCACCCAAGTTCACGGCATGATCCAAATTAACATAGACTAATCAACACATCGGAGAATTGCACTAGCAATCATTGTGCCCTGGAAACTGTGTGAAGTGAATCCAAAATATTCTACCAGATCAGAACACTGTTGGATACATGATTTATTTATTTTTTACAGGGAAAGGGAGAAAGCTTCCTCTCTCTTTTGCTACTTTCTAAAGTAGAAATACGTAACATGTCAGCAAACCATATTTATGTCAAGCCCCCTGGGTCTCAAATCAGAAGCCCTGTGGTCAGAACCAGATTCCTTGCTCCTTGAGGCCCCAGAACTAATTTTTAAATGGGATTAAGGATATCATTTATAACTGTGCTCCCAACTGATGTAGCTTTCGTCAACTAAAAGATGGGAGAATATAATCCCAAGATCCCTCCTTGGGAATCAATTGATACAAGAAAGCCAATTTCACATTACTTGAAGGGTCATAGATCAGTGGCAGAGCTCTTGCCTTGCATGCAGAAGGTCTTGGGTTCAAATCCCAGCATCAAACACAAGGCTGGGAGAGAACCCTTCTGGAAATCTTGGAGGCCCACTGCCAATCAGTGTAAACAACATTGAGCTATATGGACGAATGACCCAACTCAGCATAAGGAAGTTTCCTAGCTCCCTACTGTCTGCTGTAAATGTGCTGTTGTCTCTCAAGTCTGACCACAACTAGCCCTGAACATCAGTTGCATAGGAATAGAATCAGAATTGTGGAGTTGGAAGGGACCCAAGTGTCAGCTAGTCCAACCCTCTGCAATGCAGGGATCTCAACTAAAGCATCCATGACAAATGTTCATCCAACCTCTGTTAGGCAGCTAATGTACATCAAGTCAAATCAATGCTGCCTGGCAATAACTTAAGCAGGCAGTAGCGCACCTAGTCCTGGAGAAACCCACCCTGGATCTGTCCATCACAAATACAACCTTTGTGTGCAAGGTTGTGAAGAGTGTTGGAAGATAGGAATTTCCTGGCTCCATTTATTTCAGTCTGGGTTCAAATCTGTTCATACCCTCCAACATTTCTCCAATGAAAATAGGCATGTCCTGTTCCATGATGGCGATGATGATAAATTTGTTATTTATACCCCACCCATCTGACTGGGTTGCCCCAGCCACCCTGAGCAGCTTCAAACATATATAAAAACACAATAAAACATTGAACATTAAAAAACTTCACTATACAGGGCTGTCTAAAAGTTGCATAGTTACTTATCTTCTTGGCTTGGGGCTCACATAACTCCATATCTCTGATGAAAATAGGGAAGTCCTACCTTAAAGGTAAAGGTAAAGGTACCCCTGCCCGTACGCGCCAGTCTTGACAGACTCCAGGGTTGTGCACTCATCTCACTCTAGAGGCCGGGAGCCAGCGCTGTCCGCAGACACTTCCGGGTCACATGGCCAGTGTGACAAGCTGCATCTGGTGAGCCAGCGCAGCACACGGAACACTGTTTACCTTCCCGCTAGTAAGCGGTCCCTATTTATCTACTTGCACCTGGGGGTGCTTTCGAACTGCTAGGTTGGCAGGCGCTGGGACCGAGCGACGGGAGCGCACCCCGCCGCAGGGATTCGAACCGCCGACCTTTCGATTGGCAAGTCCTAGGCGCTGAGGCTTTTACCCACAGCGCCACCCGGGTCCCTTACCCTCCATCATTTTTCCAATGAAAATAGGGACGTCCTAAGGAAAAGGAGGACATTCCAGGATCAAATCAGAAACCGCGACGGCTTCTGTAAATCCGGGACTGTCCCTGGGAAATAGGGACACCCGGAGGGTCTGTTCTGTTTGCGCATGAACCCACATTGGGAGTCAGATGGGAACAAAAGGAGTGGTTAGCCGACTTCCCCCGTAGGACCCTTTGGGAGTAATCCTGTGCAGAAGAAGATGGTGTAAAGCCAGTGAAGAGTTAAATCAAATCCGAAATCCATTCAGGAGAGGAGGTACTGCTGTCTGAGCTGGCCTAATTGTGGCGGAGGGGGAAAAAGTCTTTAAAATAAGGATTCTAGAATAATGAGTAGCACCACCCCTTTAATTAGTTTAACTTATGTTGTATAACTTAGCTAAAGGGGCTTAGGATCTTGCCTAAGTCCTCCCTCTCTTGTACCAGCCCCTGCCATCCCCCTAGACTGTCCCCTTTCAGGGCTTATGCTTGCTTAAGATCAGTTGGTCTTGATGTGGCCCTGGATGAGCTGAGATGGGGGACGGACATTGGTGCTAAGCCAATGTAGCCCAGTTCTGACAGAAACCTCCTGGCTCAGCTGAAGACTCACTGGTTTCCTAATCCACTCATCTGGGTGGCTCTTTCTATAGGATTGCTTTCTTCGTCTGCAAGTGGCATGTCTGCGAACAGTACTTAAAAATGCAACAGGGATGAATTTCCTGGTTCTTCCTAATGAGAAAATCGTTCCGATATTAAGCCTGAAGGAGAGGTGCTTAGTCTTTGGCTCCTTGTGGAGTGTGGTAAACACAGGTCTTGAAGACCTGGAGAAGAAAATATCTGCAATTTGGGAAATTCTTTTAGCATTGGTGGAAAACCACTCACTGTGGGCCATTGAGGACCAATCACCTGTTCATTTTTTTCCTTTGTCCTAATTAAATTAATTAAGTTAACTTCCAAAGTGGTGTTAAGAAGCATTGCCCTGGGTGATTAACTGTTCCCATATCAAAGTGTTTTCACAAACACATTTACTCTGATTAGTGTACACATTATTATGTAATTAAATACCTCACACCGAGGAATTTATTAGGGCCTCTTTGTCTCCAAACAAATAAAGCAGCCCTCAGATTCTTGGGGGAAAAACACACAACAAGACCCTTCTTCTGGCCACAGGGAATGAGAAAGTTGGTTGCTGAGTCATATAACATTTGCATGAACGCAGCGATGGTTGAGATGTTTACTTCTCCAGGTAACTTATCAAAGGGATGAAGAAATGCAATGTTAAAAAAATAAAAGAAACCCCACCAAAAAATAAGAGTGAAGGGAAATGCAATACTCTACTAGCTTGCTCCAGGTTAGATTACTGCAATGTGTCGAATATAGGGCTGCCCTGGAAGGTCATTGGGAACCTAGAGCTAGTGCAGAATTCAGCAGCCAAAGGACAGACTGGGGCCAAAAGATTTGAGCATATTGCACTGATTCTGGTCTCATTTCCCTGGCTAGTTTCCAGATTTGATTCAGCGCTGGTTTCGACTTTATGGGGCTCAGGACTTCAATACTTCAAGGACAGCCTCTCCCAACACTAAAAGGCTGAGGCCCAATGGTCTCCATCACTGTCAGCTTTTAGGTGCCGGATGAAGACATTTTTATATACCTAAGTCTTTGGAAGCAAGGTTCGCCTCATCCATGGTGCCCATCTTTTGGCATGGTTGAAGAAGAAGAAGAGTTTGGATTTGATATCCCGTTTTATCACTATCTGAAGGAGTCTCAAAGCGACTAACATTCTCCTTTCCCTTCCTCCCCCACAACAAACACTCTGTGAGGTGAGTGGGGCTGAGAGACTTCAGAGAAGTGTCACTAGCCAAAGGTTACCCAGCAGCTGCATGTGGAGGAGTGGGGAAGCGAACCCGGTTGAGTCTACGAGTCTACTGCTCTTAACCACTACACCACACTGGTTGGATAGACTCTTCCCTTCTTATCATATTGTTGGATGAGCAATTTAGGAATCGGGCATTGCTTGTATGGAATTTATCTTTCTGCATTTTACTTTGTTCTTAAGTCACTTGGAGCCATCTGTCTTTGTAGAGAGTCAATAACAAATGTAACAGCAGCAGCAGCAGCAAAAGCAACAACACACCACTTGCAAGTCAGCTTGGAAGAGTTTATTTATTTATTGCATTTATATTTTTCCACCAAGGAGATGAATGTGGCATGCATTATTTAATAATAAAATGATTACTATTTTGGAAGATGTCCAGAGTAGCAACTCAGTGAGATGGGTGGGGAATAATAATAATAATAATAATAATAATAATAATAATAATATGTGGCACATGGTCCTCCTCATTTCACTAGCACAAGAACCCTGTAAGGTTAGCCTGAGAGAATGAGGCTGGCCCTAGGTCAACCACTGAGCTTCATAGGTGAGTGGCAATTTGGACCATGAGCTCCTACACCACACTGACACCCCCCGCATCACCTTTGAATAGTAAAACTCTGAGTGTTTCAAACATAAACAACAATAGCCAGAAAGGTTATCATCTTTATTGGATGAGATGGTGGAGGAAGCATTTTTGGTTTTGCAGTTAGTTACTGGCCAGTATAGGGTTGCCATATTTCAGAAAGTGAATATTCAGACACAAAAGTTTTGGGCAAAGTTGTTGAGATTTTTGCAAAATCCCCCCCCCCAAGTTTTCCAGCACCTTTTAAGGGGGGGGACCACATGGGCTTTCCCCAGACATATTTTTTGGGGGGGGGCGATTTTTGGAAATTCCACCCTGACACTATTTGTGATGGACGGATCCTGTACATGTCCGGGGAAACCCAGATGTATGGCAGCCCAAACCCAGCAGCATTCCAAGTTCACATGTTGGAGTAACAGAGAGACAGGGAGACTATCAGAGGGCCTGGTGACTTCTGTTACTTAAGATACAGTAGCACTGGTTCGGAAGAGAATACTTGCAGTAGAACAAACACCCCCCCCACCGCAGAAGAACTCTTGCAGAAGATCAATCTTTTCAAAATGGACTTGCAATAAATGCAACATTCTGGGGCCTCCCTGGCTCATTTTTATGGGTCCTGAGCAGCAACACATCTGTGAGTGCCCCTGGTCTTTAGCTCAGCTTTTGTGATGCCACAGAATGTTCACGGACATTCACATTTCGCTGGGTGAAAAGTTCATTATGGCATGTTTTACTTATGTAAAGATGCTCTCAGGGAAGCAAAAGATTTTGCTGAGTCTTAGAGTTGTAAGGTACCCAAGGGCCATCTCGTCCACCCCCTTGAAATGCAGGAATCTCAGCTAAAGCATCCATGACAGATGGCCATCCAGCAGCTCTTACCCCCAGAAGGTTTTTCCGAATGTTTAGTCAGAATCCCCTTTCTTGTAACTTGAAGCCATTGCCTCAAGTCCTACTACCTAGAGCAGAAGCATGCTTCCTCTTCCATGTGACAGTCCTTAAGATATTTGAAGATGGCTATCGTATCTCCTATCAGTCTATGATTTTGATGATCGTAACAAGAAGGGGCCTAATCTGAGGAACTAACCATTGAGAAAGGCCATGGGGTAAATCTCACACAAAGCCTTTGCTGATCACAAATGCACAGCAGTGAGGAGAAATAAATATTGCATATTGCAGGCGGTGTCCATTTTGTGTTGGGGTTCCATTGCTGGCCTCCACACATGTCTGCGAAGGACGCATAAGCCCAGTCCACCCTCTTACACCCCGATCCCATTATGCTCCATTCTGCCCCCATTCCTCCCCCTTCCAGGTGCAAGAGAACCCATGACTTGGCAGCTGTGCATCAGTTGGACACACCTAAAATGGTCGCCACCTGTAAAATATCCAGATATTT